GGAGCAGTGCTGAATAAGCCTTTCCTTGCCCGGAGACCTTTGTGCTTGTGATCAGCAATAAAAGGCTGCACTGGAATTTAAAACCTCAGCCAGGTAAAATACCACAGATGATTATTTAAAGGCTTTAAATAAAAAAATAAAACCGCCAAAACCCTCTGGCTGTAAGAGTCAGGTTTTCACATTCACATTGTATGGCTGTGGACTCATGCCTGGGTTATGAAAGAAGCCCAAAATAAGATGAGACATAATAAAACACAAACTGGGCTTAAGCAAGGATGGATTTCTGACAGCAGTTCTCAATGTTTTAAACGCTAGCTGCAGACTCATATATTTCCAAGTTTAATTGCACAATTCCCAGCGACTTAACATTACAAAAATTTACATATTTCCATGCTCAGAATTTGAGAAGCTCAAACAACGAGAAACTTTTGTTGACATATAAATGATTCAAAGAAAACAGGATTTTTTTTCAAAAATAAGTCACTGGCAGCAGATGACTGACATCCTACATGTGCTGAATATATCCTCTACCTCCAAGCTCTTGTGCTATGAATTCCTTTCTGTGCTGTGTTTCTATCATCCTGATTTTAACTTATGAGGTGAGAACTACAGAAAAATAGATACATAAATAAATACAGAAGAAAATTTGCCAGATGTGCCTTAACACGCTTAGACACATGCAGGGACTGAAAAATAAAAAACCAATATGAGTGAGAGGACCAAAACTTCAGACGGGATAAGCCAATCCAGGGAGTGAAGGCAGTTGATTAGCAAGGAATGAAGAGGAAGAGTTGGGACTGATGGACACTGAGGGCAGGGGGGAGTGAAGCCCAAATGGCACAATATATCTACTGATGTACTTGGGAAGACTTGAGTTTCTGCAACTAAAAAAGAGGACACTCTGAAAACTGAAGTCCTCAGCAATGTCACTGTTCACAAACATGATCTTCATTTTTTGACTTCTGGTTGAATCAATATTCAATTTCTCAAAATAACAGCATGCACTCTTAGAAAAGAAGACTGCTAATTCCAGATAAGTAAAGCTTGGCTTTATGTTGTTTTCTTCTGGAGCATTATCCCACTCAAGTTCATCTTTCAGAAATGCTGACACAAGCCACAAAGACTTTATGTTATTTCAGAAAATAGCTTTTCTTTTCTTTTCTTTTCTTTTCTTTTCTTTTCTTTTCTTTTCTTTTCTTTTCTTTTCTTTTCTTTTCTTTTCTTTTCTTTTCTTTTCTTTTCTTTTCTCTTCTCTTCTCTTCTCTTCTCTTCTCTTCTCTTTTCTTTTCTTTTCTTTTCTTTTCTTTTCTTTTCTTTTCTTTTCTTTTCTTTTCTTTTCTTTTCTTTTCTTTTCTTTTCTTTTCTTTTCTTTTCTTTTCTTTTCTTTTCTTTTCTTTTCTTTTCTTTTCTTTTCTTTTCTTTTCTTTTCTTTTCTTTTCTTTTTTCTTTTTTCTTTTTTCTTTTCTTCTTTCCAAATTATACCCACAGCTTCGATTGATACTTTCAATTGCAAGAACAGGCAGCCAGACAAGAACAGTAGAAGAAACTTTATCTTAAGTATTTATTGTTATGCCAGAATATCGCTCAGTTTCCTCTGGGGTAATTCAGCACTCCTGTGGGAAATATGTGACCTCATTTGCATTTTCTAATTGAATTGCTATCAGGTTTCCTGCAAGACTGAACAAAAAAGTTTCTAGAGTTACTAACATCACTTGTATTAACCAGAAAAAAAAAGTTTACATTCAAGTGTTTGCTGGGGAGGAGCAGAAATGTATGCTTCATGTATCAAAAAAATACATTTTTGAAGTATTTACCTTCTTTGCTATCATTTTTTTTCCTACTAGCATGACACTTTACTGTAGTAGTTGGAATTCTTTCATTACGGTGGTTACTGCTGAAGTTGGCAGGTTTTCCCACGTTATTCTAAAGCATCTAAAGCAATTAGCACATTTATAAGGCCAACCCTACGAAGGAGGAGAAATTGTCACTGTATTGGCTCACTCACCATTAAAATATCAGCTTGCACCAAGAGCAAGCTGAGGGATCTGAGGTGCATGTACAGCCATCAAACCCCCTGATTTTGCAAAGAAAGCACACAAGGGGAGGACTATCCTGACAAAAGCCATCCTGAATTACTCTCCCACCCTGGAACCATGCTGGCCACCACCAAAGCTCTCCCAAGCCCATTATGCAGATTTCCAGTCTTAACATATTATGACAAGAAAGGATCACAAATCCAAAGGATCATTTATTGAGGGTTTAATCCTCCATGGTCTCCTGGAAAGCAGCCCACTGCCTCCACTGTGCAGGCAGGCTCACTCCTGGTCTCCCAAAACCTCAGCCGGTATCCCAAAAATACTGACTCCTCCTATAACATTTATTCTGTATTATAACCTCCACAATAACCCAGATGTCTAATAATGGCCATTCCAGGAGGGCTGGTTTTCATGAAGCTGTAATCCATGGATAATTGTGAACTAAATTCAGATTTATCCTTCCAGAGGTGGTTCAGAGGGCCAGTGGTGCTGCCCTTGCTGGGGGCCATCGCTCACGGAGATGCCCATGGGAACACAGAGGATGGGTGAGCAAGGCACAAGGACTTGTTTGTGCTGGAGGTGCCAACAAACAGGTGTGGTAAGCAAACTTTATGCCAATTATTTTTAATGTCTGGGAACTGTTCAGTATTTTCATGAAATCAGTCACAAATTTACACAGTAAAATGGAAATGGATGGATGCGCCTCAACAGAGATCTGGTCTCTCCCTCTCTCTCAGGTCACCTCCTCCTTTCTCTCCCAGATTTGCCATCTCCATATCCTGAATATAACACAACAGTCTGGAATGTCTTTAAAAAAATTATGTAGTAGTGCTTGAGACATATTACACTATACAAAACCAAATGTGAAATCTGCTTCTAGTAAAAGGCACCAAACACATAAGGGTCACAGCCTGAAACGTACTGAACTGGATATTGTTAGGTTCAGGGGTGGTTTTTTTGCCACAAACACTATTATTTTTTAAAATAATCTCATAATCACATTTATTTCTTTAGCAAACAAAGGATTACTTTGCTTCCAAAAACCACTAGCATTTAAATAAAACACAAGTCTGATGCCTGCTATAGGGACCCACCATGAAACTGCTCATGACCTTGTCATTAGTCTTGTTTTCCGTATTTTTCCGGCCTCAAACTACACACTAATAAGGCTTTTAGAAAGCAGGGATATGAATTTTAAGAAGCTTAGCCCTCTCTCTTTTCAACCAGAGTTCAGCTTACATTAACATTAGATGAATTTCCAAGCAAATATTCTGCTAAAACAGAAATGTGTGCTTATTTAGTTTTCTTTCTGCCACATTGAGAAGAAATTTAAAGCAGTATATAAGACATCTTACTTTGTTCCTTCAATATTTAATTACTTTTAGAAGGAAGCAGTATTTCTTTGGTTAGAAAATGGCAAATAGAGTTGACATAACATACAGGGCTTAATTACATCTTGCACAAGCCCAAACTTTACTGAAGAGCAGCAGAAGTGTATTTATATGACTCTAAGCCATGCAAAAACTCAGGGGTCAGTCACTGGACAGCTGCAAGATTTAAGTCTGTCCAAGTCTTTTCTTTTTTGTCTCATATGTGGCAAAAATTCTCCCAAATGGCACAGACTCACAGGGTGAAGTTCTAACAATATGACATGGAAAGTCTTTCCCTCTTTCCCCATCCTGCCCTGCCCTCTCTGTCCAAGCACTGCAGAAAGGAGGAAAGGAGAGGTCACTCTTGCTATTTTGATCATTACTGTGCTGCATTAATCCCAACTACAGCCACAGCCAAGAGACATCTCCTGTCCCTGAAGGAGACAGGACTGTTCCCAGGACACACACCTTCATCCTTGCTCCGCAGGCCTTCAAGATCCAGCAATAAATCAGGCTCTTTAAACAATTCCCTGCCAAATCCTGCCTAAATGTAACCACCCAACCAGCCCAGCATTACATTGCTGGAGTTGGCACCAGACAAGATAACTGCATTTACTCAGTGTAGTAGAGGATCTTCAGCCCAGACTAACACTGAAAATGAAAAGGTGAACTGCTGCTGCCAAAAATGAGATGGAAGAGGTAGGAAAGAGACAGCTACTCAAGGGGCAGATCAGAAGAAATGTGTTTTCATGGAGCAGCCCCCCAGTTCCAATGGTTCTGTGCAGCCCACCACTGCATTTAACTGAGGGAATGCTGCTCTCAGTCTGCTGGGCAGGGACAGACCCCTCCTGCTTTTCAGCTGAGTGTATGAAACTAAAGTAGAAAGAAACCATCTGTAACCTTCTGTCTGACATACTGAATGGCACTGGCTTTTCACTGTCAGGGCTGGGGAAGGGAAGGTGCTGGCACTGAGCAGAGGGGACATTTGGCACTGCAGTGCCACGTTGTGCTTCGCTGCCTGCACCATGTGTGAGCATGTGTTCCTTATCAGGCAGCAGCAATGCTCCCTGTCCTTGCATTGGAAGGAACAAGCCCAAATCTCCCCTCTGGAAGCTGCAGGGCTACGCAGATGGCTCACAAGAGAAAGGAATAATTGTGAAAACCAGGAAGATGTCTTGGCAGCATGGCAGAGCAGCCAGTGCGTGACTCCAGGTCTGGGCTGTCACAAAAGAAATCTGAACTTAAAACCATCAAGGAGATGGTTGACTTTGCCTCTGCACCTTTCATTTGCAGGTTTTACTTGAAGTCAAGAGAGATTGTTAGCAGTGAGTTGCAAACATGCAGTGTACAACAGAGCCAAGCAGTCACTTAAAAATACAAAAGTATGAACTTAAAAAACACTTCCCTCACTGGCGACCTTAAATCATTTCTGTCAGAGAGGTTCAAGGATCATTGGATGCTGCTTGTGGTATCTCCTACCTGGACGCTTCCTTATGAAGCACAGACCAGGCAACACAAACACTCCGAAGCCACACGAAACTTTGGGGCAAAGGAAGAACAGAAATAAGAAAGAGAGCTCTGAAAAAACTCTTACCTTGTGTCCATTGTGTTGGGACTTCTCTGCCACCAGAAAGCGGACCATGGCCTCCCATCTGCCCAGGGTCTGGGGATCCCACGCCGTCACCACCAGGATCAGCTGCTTGGAGGGCATTTGCACGTGGTGGGCAGCGAACAGGGTCCTGTCCGCCCTCACCTTGAAGTCCAGGCTGTTGGTTTCATAGCGAACTCCCTTGTTACCAGCACAGTTATTAAATTTTACTAGAACAGAGAGTAAGAGATGGAAGAAATGTGTGAGATTGGCGTGATAAGGAAAGCAATCAAATACAAGTTTCAGACATTTAATTTTCACTGATGTCTTCTATATCTCTAATAACCATCAAGGAAATGATTTAACTGTTTCTTCGACCTTTCAGGAGTGCTCTTGTGCTTTATCTCTGTTCCCCAGGGAAGGAGCTGTAAGCCATTTTTAAAGTATTTGATACAGTTTCATTAGATCTCAAACACAGCTGTTCCCCATTTCTACAAGTGGATTTCTCCCTTGTCGCCATTATCTTTTAAATTCAACTGGAGTCTATTACCCACATTGTGGGTATTTTTTTGCAGGAAATGTTCTCCATTTCCCTAACCCTTCAATAACCTACTCACCATATAGCCTATTTGCACATTCTTAACTGAAATTCAAAAGCCCATAACAATTCCATTATCAGAAATATAAAAACAACAAAAAAATTAAACACAGAAAAAAAGTTAAACCATTTTGGAGCACCCATCTGCTGCTGGAACTGGACTCCCACCCTGAGCTGCGTTCCCTCCCTGGCTGACCCTTCACATGTTACAGTTACTGCAAAGGGGAACTGTAAAACTGTGCTTCAAAACCCATAATGTGCCATTTAAAAGCCTACTCTGTCAGATCAAAGCTCCCCAGTCGCTGATATTTTTATTTTCCTCTTTTTTTGGACAAAGTCATTCACAGACTAGTTTGAAAACTATTTTTATTGCCATTATGAAACATGTCACATACATTAGGACAGAAAAACAAAAACTCTATTATATGACAAAATTGACAAATCTGATCGAAACTGAACCTGCAGCTAATAACACAGGAAACAAAACACTTTCTGCCATTTGAGTAATCCACAGGGTGGAACACACATGTGGTGAAGGCAAACATATTGTATCCGTAAAGACATCTCAAGTGAGTGAGAATGGATGTACAGCGTTCCAGCTCGGATAGTTAGATTGGTTCTCACGCTGTGGCTGCTGAGTGCTCAGCAGACATGCTCCAGCCTGCCCTGAGACAAGGAAAAACCTGCTGGCCTGGTCTGATGGGGCTTCAGCAGGCACTTAATTCCTGCAGAAAAAGAGCTGGGCCGGACGGATCCGACCTAGACTGGCTGTGGTGGGAGAAGGGATGCAGTGGCGGTCCAGGCGAGAAGAGCTCCTGAGACAGTTGTACCCCAACCATCCCTTTCCCCCCATGCCACAACTGACTCCTCTGCAGTGCTGCTTTGAGCTGAATCAAGGACTAATCTGGATTTAAATAAAAATCCAAAGGGTGGCATAGTTGAAAGAAAAAAACAGCCAGGAAACGGCTCAAGCCACCCTGCTGCCAAAGCCCCCCAGCACCATCCAAATGCAGAGAAACGAGGAGCAAATTGTAGTGGAAGAAGAGAAAATCCTTCTTCTCCTCCTTCACCAAAATGCACCCCTCACTAACCAGGGTGTGATCATGTCATGACTGTACATCTTACAAAGGCTTTCTATGCTGTGTGTTTATTTAGATCCCATTTGTACATTTTTATGTGTGTGGTGGGAAGTGTTACCCAACTGCAAGTGTCATACATTGATTCGTAAAAAATAAGGTGGATGAAGTTATCCAGTATATAAAAAATCTGAAAGCACTGGATGAGGTTAAACACACAAAGTTTATTGGCACCTACAAGAATTGAGATGGCCTCAGAGACCTGTGAGGGGAGATCCCCCTTCCTCCTGGGACCACCCTGCTGGGAGATGGCCTTCATCTCTCAGGAATTTCTGCAAATCTCCCCTGCATTCACAGCTACAATAAATATGTGCAAACACATCAAGTGCTTCACTTCTAAAATGTTATTTATTTTCAGCTCCATGCCATCAGCGCTGTTAGAAACCTGGCACATGAGCTGGTGCATTGCTGCACCCCTCTGCTGTGCAATGGCCATGCAGAACACAACTCCCATCCCTACCTCCCGAAGTACCCACGTATCATATGTGGAAAGACATCTGAAGAAGAGAGAAAGGAGTGATAATGACTGCACATTAAAAACATCTCCGAGTTTACTTTGATTTTACTGAGATTAAAAGAAAGCCCTACAGTGTACCAGTAGTCTGAGAGAAAAAAAACCCCAACAATCTTCCTATACGTGTATGTGGTGATTTCAGTATTCAAAGTACTTAAACATCTGCTTAAGACACAGTGCGTGGCTCCAATATGCTGCTCTGGTGTCATATGTCACTGTGTCGACTTTTATGCTCCATTATCTAAAAATGGCTACCTCGTAGACAAAGTCCCTCTGTGACTTGCTAATTACTTCCATTATTTTAAAACAAACTTGACTAGAGACGGAGAAAATCCTGAGAGAAATTGTCTAATTTCATTTTTTTTTTTTAACACGCACCGTCTCTGCTCCACATTGCTCCTCTCAGGTAGCACAGGTGGGTGAACGCTCAGCAATGAATTAGCACAGCCTGCTCCTCTCCTAAGAGCCTTTAGGGACTGCAAGCGCAGAAAGGCTTCAAGGACATGAGGATTCCATAGTGTTGAGTCACTCTGCACAGGCAGCAACGGGGCCACGGCTCACCTGGGCAGCTCTGCAGGGGATTCCAAACACCCAGGGATGACCATGCTCAGCTGCTGTCAGGCAGAGCTGCTGCTATTGCTCCAGGTACTGTTTATGCACAGCAGAGAAAACACAGGATAGCTGAGCTGCTCACACTTCCATCACAGGACTGCAAGGACATGGCTTAGTGCTGGGTTGGCAGTGCTGGCTTAAAGTTGGACTCAACAATCTTAGAGATGTTTTATAACCTAAATGATTCTGTGATTAGAGATTCTAAACTCCTTGCTGCTCTGTGAAAACTATTCCTTGGGATTTTACATGACTAGTGAGATGCACTGTTTTATACATACATATATATATATATACACATACACAATATATATGCACACACAGAGATCCACATAATACACTATAAGTATCTTATAAATAAATACCTTATCTATGCAAATTTATATATAAAATACTTTTCCCAAATATATGTGTATGGGTATATGGGAAAAAAAAATCAAGCTATTGTTCTATAATAAATGACATAGTTCAAGGAAAGAAGACCTTATCCCTGTTTTCAAATTCCACCTCTTACCTCTACTCTTTGCTCTCATGGAGACTGAAATTAAAGTTTCATTCAGCAGCAGACAACTTTTGCTTTTCTTTTTTTTCCTTTTCTCCTTTAGAAATCTCTAAGTCTACGTAATTTGCAGTTGATGCAACTCTTGACTTTCAAATAATGTAATAAATAAACAAACAAACACTGGTTGTGTTTATTAGACTTAGAACTCTCTGTGGACACAAATCAATCTTTCTTTGACCAGTCTGAAGCCTAAAGAACGCTGCATGAATTTAACATTTAAAAGCTGCAGCATCAGTAATTAGGATTTCGGATAAACAGCAGAGTCACACATCTATCATTTTTACAGGATGGTAAAAAACTCCAACTTTTTAAAAACACGCTGGATAAAATGTTCAGTGATGCTTATCGAAAGCTTATGCTGAAAGCAGCATCTAATGCCTGATGAAAGAAAAACCAAGAAGGCACCCTCATTAGCAGGCTTTTAGGTTTAACCCTTTACCCTCATCATTTTTAATTGCTTCTCTATGAAAGGAGGAAGTACAACAATTTGATACGTTGAAACAGGTACTGAGTGATGGGCAGGAAAGCTGCAGGAGTCTGCTGCAAACTGCGGGGCATCTGAGACAAAAAAAAATGGTATTTTTCTTCAAAAAAGACCCAGGGTGAAAAAAAATTCAACAAGTTTTGCATTGTTCCCTTTTATTATTTAGCTTGTTAAGCTGGCTGGACAGAGTCAAATGATCAAGTGAGGATCTTGAAAGATGTACGAATACACTGAACTTCCTTGCCCCCCAAATGTCTGAGAAATATACTGAATTTAATGGGACTATAAATGGTACAAACCAAAGAACTCGCTTTTAGCCTTATCCTTCTAGATTCTCCTTTAACTTCTCCTAGTCCATTAAAAAGTGCCCCCTCTGGCAAGCTGCACAGGGCTGGAAGAGCAGGAGGGATAATACTCATTTATTAGGATGTACCCCCTGGCAGGGCATCATCCCACAGTTCAGGACACAGGTCCCTTCATTTGGAGGATTATCACTGCAAAGATGTTTCTCTCCTGATGAACTTTAAAGCAGCAAATACACACCACTATTTCCAGCAGGATCCATCTGCTTTTCAAGCTGTGTCTCTTGACCAGCTCCCCTACACTCGGTGCACCGTGATAAACCTAAGCTGCCAAATCCACCCCTCCTGTGAACACCATTAAGGTGAGGATGGCTTAGCTGTGACCTTTGGAAATTTCAGATGTCTGGGTAACCTGCAGAGTCCTCGGCGTGCACGGAAATGTCCCTTTTGTGTGATCATGAGCAAATCACTCGTATTCCTGCCCTGGCACTCCCGGCCCAATGCTCCCAAAAGCCTGCACTCATCCATCTCCTCCGGCCTCTGCAGGGGGTTCAGCCCTGGCCAGCATTCCCCTGCACGTCACCACACCAGGAATTAAAAAGACCCAAACATGTCCTTAGTGGATAGGAACCTGTTGTCTAAGAACAGGTATGAAACCATTCAGCTAACCACAAAAATGCGCCCTGTGAGCACATCACAGCCTCAACAAAGTGATTTCTCCATTAAGTGCTAATGGGAAGCAGAGCTCGCTGTGCCTTGTTGGAAAGCTGCATTTATTTGACAAAGTAAGTACGTAGCATAAAATTTTACACAGCCACATTTTCGAGGCATCTTTCTTTATGTTCACGCAATCCCTCTGTGATTCTGTGAGAAAACTGCTTTATAGCAGTGGGAACCAACTGTAGTTGAGTGAATTCCCTGTGGCCACACTGGAAACCTCAAGCAAAGCTGGGATTTGAGCCCTGAAATTCAAACTGCCAGCTGACACTGCCTCCATCGCCCACGTACAAGGGACAAAAATTATA